AGGGTTAGGGTTATGGTAGATGTGGGATTTATGATAAGAGGAGTTTGTCATGCTTCATTACTCCGAATTCATGAAGATAATATGAGGGCAGAGAGAGGAAGATAAGTCCAGGGTGAATAATGCCTTCCATCTATGCGGCTGTGAGGGTCTGACTGACGGAAACTTAATCAGCGGCTCAAATGTAGCAGCGATGGACAACTCCACAAATTCAAGAGGATGTGCAGTGAAATGCACACGGGCACAAGTGCGCGAGCAAAGGCAGAGTAGCTAAATCAGCTGTTTAATTCTGTAGGCACAGCCTGGTGAGGTGGTGAGGACAGCCTTGTTCTGAACAGACGCGCGAATACAAAGAGGATGTAAAGGAGCGGGAGATGCCAATGCATTCCCAAGTGGACTCGCTTCAAGTGTGAGATAAGAAGAATGAGTTTTTCCCGTTGATGGTCAGAAACATTTTGGTTCATTCTTTAGCAGCATGACATTCAAATAATGTATCCCAGAAGCTTGGGGGTCTGTTTAAGATGAGCGACTTCCAAATAGGATCAAACAAACAGCGACGATGTCTATTTTGTTCATGTGTGGTTATGTACATATTCACTTATTCAATCTCAAATATCTTTGCTGCTACAATATTTTTTTAATCTATCCACAGTTGGACGTCTAAAGAAATCTCTCATCTCATCTAATCTGATCTTGAACTCAACGGATGAGACAAATTAAATTAAGAGCGACAAAAATGTAATAACTTCAATGTAAATGAGCAAAATAAGTGAATTATCTAGTTGTGTAAAAAAAAGTCCGAAGCAGGAGGTTGCTGTTTACATATTGTTGGTCGCAAAAAAGAAACTATGTGCCTTGCAGAAACAAAAAAAAAAACACTCAGAAGCAGGACATCAGCACATCAATGAAGCACTTCCTAACGCAACGTCAACAGTTACTGTTAATGGCTCGCGTCACACAGCCATAAATCAGTCTAATTTACCTGGATGTGAAGGCGGAGGCCAGAGTCAACAAAGCACAACAGAGCCCCTTTCTTCGGGACTCCCGTACATGGTGAGTGATGCCGATCACACTAGCAACAAAAACCTGCTGATAATAAAGCTTCACAAATTGGCTTTCATTTGTTTTACTTCTAACACTTGAACATTGACTCCTGGAATTCATTAGGTCTTTAAGTATCACACCAGATAATTCTGAATTCAGGTCTAAATTGCATGAATATAAAAATTTAAATCCATCTCCAACTCTCCTATTTAAACTATAGGACTTTGCAATGCTGTAATGGCTGCAAAACAATGTCTTATAATCTCCTTTTTGCCTTTGGATAATCGCTTTATACAGGTAGTTTGACCAGCAAACATAAATGACATGCAGAGCAGAAAAAAAAAAGCAAAAGAGGATTTATAATTTGTGTTCAGTTCTAAGTCTATTTGGAAATCCATGCGTAAACAACTGCAGTTTGACACAAGAGTCTAAATATTACATTTTTGAATAAACCCATCATTATTTTTACATTTGAACTGGCTTATGCAAATGTGCATCAAGTGTGACAATATTTCTCCAATTATCCGGGGTCGACTACAATCATGTCACACTTTCCATCTTTTAAAACAAAAATACCATCATTTCATTACAGAACTGTCAAACAAGCAGCCATGATAAATGATAAATACCAGTCAAACCTTGCCACTTTACTGTGACATCTGTACCCGTACATCCTTATCTTGTCTTCTAGGACGCACACAACTTTATTGTGCCAATGTTTGACCACGAGCACGTTTGCTTTAATTGGAAAGCCTTTAAATATGGCAAATCTGCAACAAGAATGTAATTGAAACACCTCAACAAACAAAATGGGTAGAGATAGATATTCTCTAAAATGTAAAATTAACTTATCTCTGGAATTCGTTAATGGGTTTTATGCTTAATCACAAAAGGTTCAAAGAAATTATTTTCGGTGACCAACTTCAATGTATCTAGAGGCACTGACAAAATCAAAAAGCAGTCAGGATTTATTGTAATTCATCATCACGATGGCATAAGTCTTTTGATCCAACTGATATGAGCTTGCGTCCAGAAAACTCAGCTATGTTTGTACAAAGTGTTGATACAGTATATGGCTTCTTTTTGGTTTAATACAATTCCAGGTTCCATTTCTGGATGCAGCTGCGGACTGTGATGAGTGAAAATTGTTTGCCGAGGTACCCCGGAGCCCATGTGGCTATATTGATCATGGTTTGTGTCCTTGGCCTTTACACACTGAGATTTCCCTCGACTCTCTGGATCCTTCCACAATATTTTACTCTGCAGACGTTTAAAGACAACAGTGTTTTTTACGATCTTAGATTGAGAAATGTTTTTCTTAAATGTACTGACAAAAAAGTGTATTTTTACACCCAATTCTGACACCCTCACCTTTCACCAATCAATTTCCTGATTGTAGAATCTTAAAAACTGCTGTTCCTTTATAGTTTATAAATAATTTTTCTTTCTCAGAGCTTGTTAGAGCTAAATCAAATCTGATTATTTCTTAACATATTTATCAAAAAACGATTCCTTTCTTACTTTTGGGCGTATGTATGAAATAATCCAAACAAAAGCTAATCAGAACGTATTTTAAGCTTTTGTTTAAAAAGACAAACAAACATTATTGTTTTTCTTTAAAAATGGAAGTGGCTTTCCAAGATGTTTAGGTGAGGGGGCATATCCAAATGCAGGCCAAGGGAGGAAAACAGCGACGAGCCAAGGAACTTAAGAAACAAACAAATTAATTCGAAAGTCAGATACAGAATGAGCTAAACTAAGAATAGACCAAAATCCCTAGAATAACAAAACCAAAGGAACACACCTCAGATCAAAATGGGAAGCAGACATGGGAAACAGGACTATGTGGGTACAACAAAGACAAATTATGACAAGGATCTGCAGAAGAGTGGGGAAGACACAGGAAACGTATGAGAATAAAACAGGAGAGACAGATGTCAAATAAAACACCAACGTTACCAAAGGACTAAAGTGCAACACAGGAAACTAAAGCATGAGAAAACAGAAAAGAGAAATCTGTCCATCCATCCATGTTCTATATTGCTTATTCTCAACAGGGTCATGGGGCAGAACTGAGAAACAAAACCAAAATTGTACAAAAAACCCCCGCTCAGGACAGATGTAGCAGTAAAATATAAAACCCACTGTAAGACAATCACATAAAAAACTAACTGTAAGCCTACATTCAAAATTTTGAAAATGCATGTGCCTTAAAACCAAAAAACACAAAAAAAATGTAACATTCAGATAATGTTGAGGATCAAATCACAGCAACTCTATACTTCACCAGATTAAAATAAACCTAAGTGCTCTGTACAATTCCCAAAGATCCATCTTTTATAATATTTTAGTAAAAAAAAACACACAGTGTTGACAATATTCTGGGAAATACAGCAGCTTGTCAATACACCCATGTCTTTCAGCTGGAGAGGCTGTGCCAAGTTTGAATGTTGCGTTTGCGGTTTAGAGGATGTCTTAGCGCTTCAAACATGATGAGGCCAACAGTTGTACCAGGATGAATAGGAAAAACGGAATGGGTGGCGGAGTTGGCACAATGGAGTCAACTGGTAATTAAGATTGATCCCGGCCCCTACTGGCCGCGCTGCAATACGGGACGGCACGACCCATAAATCTCTGAAGTGACTCACCACCGCCTCCTTCCTCTCCTCGGCCTACATGCCCTCCTTAATCTTTAGTCTCTCCCTCAGTTCGCTTCCTCCCAGGGACAGATTCACAGAAGTTTGCGTCCTGCTGCCTCCACACTTCCTGTTTGCTGTTTTTCACACTTTTTAAAGTCTGACTGTGCTTCATCCTTCCATCTGAAAGCCCTCAGGCAGTACTGTCAAAGTGATCAAGCCCATTCTATTGACTGATTTCCTTCAGAGGAGCTATTTTGAGTAACAGCGTGCCTTTTGCTGTAATTTGTATCGCGCACGTTCACAGCATCATAAAATATATAAGAAAAATTAAAGGGCAGAGGGAGGAGGAAGCAATGGTGGAATATTTTTCTTTCGGTTATTCGGTGTTTCGTTGCAGAATATTTTGATTTAAATAAACTTTAGTAAACCGGCAGACCTGCTTTTCATGACTTTATGAGGTATCGCACACTGTAACTTCTTAGCACATCATGTGCCATCTTTCTAAATAACAATGACTGTTATAATTAAACTATTAAGAGAATTTTACAGAAAATGAATTCATGTGAATCGTCTGGAGATGTAAACAAGGCATGTTTTATCTCAAATGGGAATGTAATTAAAATCGTAGAGGAACATCTAAATCTTAAGAAACTGAACCAAAGGATGCAATTGTGCATTATCATTTAAAAAAAGAAGAAAGGTAGGAGAAAAGAGGAGTGAACTTGTGTTTGGGGGCCGGAACTTCCTGTTAGAGCCTTCTGTTGTTAAAGTGACCGGCTCTTAGCCAATCAGGTTCAGCTCATGGTCCAATTACCAGAAAGACAACTGGTAAAGAGGGAATTAAGTTATTTATTAAGATTTTTTTTTTTTAAAGGTAGAAGTTGAGGTGGAAGATATTGTAGTATGGCTTGTGGTCTGGTATTTCAGTTTATAATGTGCTTGTGGTTGAGCCACAGTGAAAATGTTTGATTTAAAAAAATGTTTGTTCTGAACTAATTCAACTTCGGTTTGTCAATTTATTTTTCGAAAGCTTTTCAACGTAATCCTAATCCCAACCCTAAATCCTTCGACAAATCTGAACATCAATTTCAACAAATAAACACAATGGAAAAAGATTTGAGTTGTGCCTAGCGTCCTTTTTGGTGATGACCGGCCATTTTTCAAGTTTGGGCAGGAGCTGAAGCTACAAAACCACGCATAACTTGACATGCATTATCTGAGACATTCCAAGATTTTGAGACACATTTTTGTCAAATACTGGTCAAATAATACATAGAAAAGCACAGGGCAAAAGGTTGAAAACATAAGGGGCTGGCTTACCTTTGAACTTGTGGAAGACGGCCCAGAGCTCAGCTATGTCGGTGGCAAAAGTGATGTCGGTGTCCAGCACGATGACCCTCTGCAGATCCGAGGGCAGCGTCTTGGTGAGCACCAACTTCATCAAGCCGTAGATTCCAGAATAATGTTTATTGGGGATCCACGACACTTCGGACTGAAAAAGCACAACGACGACGATTTGAGTTCATTCGCTATTAAATTCCCTGAACTGAAAAAACATTACACAATGTCTAATAAAGGTAGTGCGCAGAGCTCATAGCTTGTAAGAAAGAATAATATAAGTGGAAAGTGAAGGCGCCTTAGGGATTTCTGACGGACAGAGCTGAGCTTTCTGAGGCGGAGAGGAGGATTCGTCTTCTCACCTTTAACTCGTCTGCGTCGTAAAAGTCCACCCTGACAGCGGGGACCATCCAGGTATGAAACAGAGAGGAGAGGATCTTCTGAGCGATGGCGTCTGTGATGAAATGGAAATGAAGGGGGTTTCGCCTGCAAGCACAAAGCAAAAGCTCAAAACCCTGGACCCGTGTAGCAACGAACTGAATCTGAACCTATTTAAAGATGTTAAGTTAAACTTTTCGTACAACCCCCTTTGGCTAAAGTGATGCAACATACGTCTTTTTTTTAATAAAAGCATTCAGCTCTGCTTAACCACAAGACATCACCCTGATCAAAAGCTGAAAATGCAGTTATTGATCAAATGATTACAACGACTGGTGCAGTGAGCTTTAGTGCATTCTTGGCACACATTGTTGGCTCCAAAACCTGGCTGGAACCTTCTTTTTACCTTTCTTTCGAACAGATTAGCAGTTTTGAAGGTTTAAGAGTTTGACGTGGGTAAAATATTAAGCTGTTTGCTTTTAGCATTTTCAATACCAAAAGGAAAACCATTATATTTGAGCAATTGTAACACAATACGGCTGTGATTTATTTATTTTAGATCAAACTTTACACAACTTAGCCAGGTAGCCAGCACCACAATAAGACTTTAATTTGATTAAAAAGTCTAAAAACTCAAGGTGAAGTATTTCAGAATGAGTGTAAAGAGAGTCTTAAAGATTTAAAAGTCACACAAGGCACACTAAAGGAGAGAAGTTGTATCATATCATGACAAACTTTCACCGAGTAGAGTTTGCTTAGCCAGTATTTCATGAAAAGCCTCACAAAAAGGAATGGAGGGTAAGAACAATACATGTACCGGACTTCCAAATCGGGTCAAGTGTAAGTGACACTGAATTGGGGATGTGAGCACCCTGGGGAGTCATAAACTGAATGACTTTGGGAATAAATGAGTGAGCTGCGCTCAATAAATACTAGGGGCTGGGGACTGTCAAGATGCATCACTGTCAGAAAAGTGGACAAGTTTTTTTTTTTTTTTTTTTGCCACAGACTGAAAATAAATGGGGCCATCACATCATCTGAACAAACTGCAAAAAGGAAGCAAATATGACAAGTACATCCTAACTGGCAGTGCCCCTGGTAATCTCACGATATGTTCTTTATCAGGCAAACCAATTTACTTGTTAGAAAAATACTTGGATTAGATTTTGAACCTCAGAATACTAATACATTGAGCTTTAGTATCAATGAATAAAGTTAATACAATTTTATCAATGGTATGAGTGTAACTATGCCTTTTACGACTTTTAGAAACAAACTAACAGGAATAAATGTATAAGTTAACTTGTGCTACAGACAAATGGACAAGACTCTAGACCATCCATCCATTTCCGTAACTGCTTATTCCTCAATGGGGTCCTTAACTCATTGGCTGCCAAAGACGTCTATAGACGTCAATTCAAATACAACCGTTGACTGCCAAAGACGTCTATAGACGTCTTTTAAGTTTTTCAACGAGAATGGCTGGGGGACGATCTGCTAAAGCTTGTCCATAAATATCAGGCTTCTAGACAGAGTATGTACTAACAAATTGACCATCTAGGTGGCAGTGCCACTTTTGATGGGAGATTAGCATAGACTGTAGGCAAATAAGAAAAACGTAATGGTTCGCTATGAGAGAACATTTCGCCGGTGAGACGCAAGTCGAGGAAGAACGGAATAAGGTAGAAACAAATAATTTTTCCTGATGAAAGAAGAGAGTCTATTCTTTCTTTTGGTGTGTTTGGTGTTTACATAGTCATAGCACAAACTATTCTGTGGTCTTGAAAAATCAGTCAAAATGCTAAAAAAACTGGCAGTATGGGACTCTTTGTTCTGAAAATGGCTGGCAGTCAATGAGTGGGGGGCCCAGTGGTCAACGAGCGAGAGGCGGGGTCACCCTGGACGGTCAGCCAGTCCATCGCAGGGGCACACAGAGACACACAAGGACCAACAACCACACACACTCACACTCATTCCTAAGGGCAATTTGGAATGTCCAATCAACCTAACATGCAGGTTTTTTGGATTGTGGGAGGAAGCCGGAGAACCCGGAGAGAACCCACATACTTTAATAGTCTGTTTTCTTACAGTTTATGTGGGTATATTTAGTAGAGAACTGGTTTTAGAAAGAAAAAAAAAGGTAGTTTCCCATCATCTGAAATTAATTATGATTAGCCTCTTCACCTCATCTCACATAACCATCCTATAAATTCCAGTCCCATCGACGCACAACAGGGCCCTGCATGCAAACCCTCAAACACAGAACCCTCTTGCTTTGAGGCCTGACTTTAGACAAGAATATTCCGCAATGATCCCTATTTCATCCAGCGAGCAGTGCTGAACCTCCTTTCGTCTGTGTTTCGTCTGGTTGAGCTCGCGACCGTTCCAGGGGGGCCAGACGGCGATCACTGGCGTCCCACAGTCACACCCTGAATGCCACCCATCACTGCTCCTCACACCTCACACAACAGCAAACAGCATTCTACCACCAAAGCTGAAGTCAAAAGCCCACATTAGCCTCCCCAGCCTCTAGCCAAATGCACCAGTAAAGGTGGGAGTTGGGGTGGGGCTAACCCTGGTCCGGGCAGGAGGTGGACATAAAAGAGGTATAGATTAAAGAAGGGATTCAAACCTTGATTCGGGCAGGGGGATATGAAAGTATAGAGGGAGCCGGAGGTAAAGACAGGACAAGACAGACCAGCAGACTCAGCAAACAAACTCATCCAAAGAGCAGAAAAAATGCCGGAACACCAACTAAACTCGTCTTGAGGCCTGCTACCAGGGCTATACAGTCCTAAAAGACCTGCTACGAATACTAAACACACCTCCAATTAAGAATAACTATAAACCAATCCGAATTGAGATTTAATTACATTTGCCTTATTGGAAAACGCAATTGCATAAAGAAGCTGTGACAGTTTAAAATATGAGTTCAAGACACAACAATTAATACTAGAAGTGGTTCTGAACTACATTTTAAAATGTTTTCACACCGTCTCGATCCTGAAGTAAGATTTGGAAAAGTTTGACTTTCAATTTTTATTTTTGGTCAATGACTCACTTGTATGCTCTCTCTCCTTCAGTATGTGGCACCTTTCAAAAGGTGTCACATAAAGTGTGTAACAGGATACAGAAATAATGGCTGACACTGAACAAAAGCGTCTGGTGCATAAGTTAGTATTAAATTGAACTATTTAAGATTTTAAAAAAAGATCCAAGTAGAAATCTAGTTGTCTTTGCTTGAATTGATAAGATTACCATAATCTGTACAATATAATATGTATAATATGTACACTTTGCAATTTGGGAAGAGAAACCTCAAAACTGAAAAAATGATCAACCAGGAAATTATGTTTTACCAATGGACTTAAGTTATTTGTTTCTCCAGGACCTCGTTTCAGATGCTGTCCATCATTTCTGAATTGTCGCTTACAGAAAAGAATAAGCTTGCTTTCCACTTACTGTTCCCAAGCAGGTGGACTGACACCTTTTGACAGTCAAAAATGGACTCAACTGTAACCAACTTGTTGTGAACGGCAACACTATCTAATCTGTGAAGCAAAAAAAAAAAAAAGCTACAATCCTTAAATTATTAAATGATTGTATGTTGCACCCAAATAATGGCATTTTTCAATTAGCCATATTTGCGCTTATTGAAATGAACTGCAGTTTCTTTTGTACCACCAAATAAGATTTCAAAGTCGTGCCTGACACTGGAAAGTGCATGCATGTTTAAAAAATGCTGAAAAACAGATAAGATGACCAAATTGTATTTAAATGGACTCTTTAAGTCTTATCTTTGGGTTTAGAAGTAAGTTGTAGTTGGATTTCAGAAATAGTTTACATCCACTGGGAGTAAACATCATCAACATGTACATTTTTATGGATGGTTCAGACATAAAAAAGCTTCTCATATGAAAAAAAAAGCCTCAACATCTGCGTTGGGTTCATTGTGGTGACTTTGTTTTTGACTGTTTAAGGTTCCCTAATGGAGATTTTGCTCATTATTTTGTTGTGTTGGGTCTTCTTGTATTCAGTCTGTTTACTGTGCGGCAAATGTGTGGAGGTAATGATTTGCCTGTTGTTTAAGCTACATCCATTTTCAATCAGAAAAAGACAGCATAATGAATGTTGACAAAGATACTCCCTTTGCAAAGAAAAAGCTAAGGTTCTGATTTTAAGACATTTCTCAAAGGATCAGGCAGTCATAGAATCATTGGATTGTAATCAATATTGTAGTGAAACAGCTATATGCTATATTTAATTAGATTAACAGTGTTTTAAACTCTGTTTTGTCTCATCTGTCATGATTTATTATCTGGTTATTTTCCCTTCCACCAGTTAGCACAAAACTAATCCTCTACCTTAATAAGGCGTTTTTTTTTACCACTAAAATGAGTACATTTCACTGTTTCTTTATGTGTTTGAGCCCCTCATAAAATTGATTAAACTGAAAAGATTAAATCCTTTCCCACTGCCATCAGGTTTACAGCTCTGATGGCTTCAGAGGATTAAGGACCGGTCAAGTATACCTCTACCTTCCTGGGGACCAGCCTGTGTGCTCAGATAGCATGAGAAAAGGCATTACAACAAACCCATTTGTTCATCCTCCTTTTACTGGGCTGCAGATATGAGCCCACACAGCAGGAATAAGAGTGAGCCGCCAGCTGTCTCATCGACAGCGAAATGGATCGATGTCTTCCTTGTTGCTGTCGGTGTCAAAGTTTCAATGCGAATCGTTATGGCTGGTAACAGTTTGTTTTCTGTAGGGACAAAATGAGGCGTGCCGCTTCTTGTGGCGGCTTTACGGAAAACGCGTGCGCATATGTTGCCTTTGGTGCAGTTTTAGGACCGAACAAATAGCACTTGAAAGAGCTTAAGCCGAAGCAAGATTGAAAGCAGATGAAACTCATTCTCATTAATGTCTGCAGACAGATATTAGCTGCCGTTAGTGAGTTTTTGTCTAACCGAGTCCCACGGTTCAAAGCGTTTCAGCTGCCCTGAAGGAAAAAGCCATTTCTATTCACTGACATATCTTTTCAAATGTTTTGTCCTTGAAAGAGAAAGTAAACGCAGTGCTTCACAGATGTTGTGATTTTGAGACATCGAATCGCCGATTATTGCTCAAGAGAAATTGTAGACAAACCATAGTCGACCAAAGTAACAGCTGGTTTGATCTGTCTTATTTATTTGAACCCCTTTAAAGCCTGATCCAAGGATAAAACAAAACAGAAAATTACTTTTTTTTTGTTTGAATTCCTCATTTGCCCTTTTAACAAAATATGTAAAAAGAAAAAACAGAAATACATTTTTGATGTTAATAATTTATTACTATGCGATAAGTCAAGATTATTTTGTGTGTAGTCTTGTGCCCCCTGTCATCAGGTATATCTGAATGTGTACAATAGGATTTTGAACAAAGTTTTTACCATTAAATTATGCAAAGGTGTCAGATGCTAAACATTTCAGAAACCTTGTGTATCAAATACGATACATTTGGCATTATAGGGCTAAGAAAGTTCAACTTTGATTATCACGGAAACAGGCTCGTAATTTCATAAGCTTCCACCAGGGCCATATGGATAACAAAAAAAAAAAAAGAACAATCATTTATTTGGTGTGGATGATGATCTCTGCATGCCCCCCTGTCACAACAACAAGTTTCATCCCCAAAAAACAAGGGTTTCTATTACAATATGCGACAGCAATAGTTCTTAGGACCAGTGGAGGTCACCCTACAGGGACCCACTCTCATAGGCCGGTTAAAAGTTTCAAAAAACAAGACGGATGCCGTCGTTTTCTCGCAGGGATCATTTTTAGATGACGCTGCTCAGCGCAGCTGACGTTGGACAGGTCAGAGTGATGAGGGGGTCCGGCTGACTGAATACCCCAGACAGCCGCAATCTCTCAAGAGGGACACCATCACGCTCACAGCGAGAGTCACGGAGCGGGGCTCTATATCACCCATGCAACAGAAAAGTGCTGGCACCGGTTTGATTTACAGCGGGGGGCCTAAACAGCACACCACCACTAGAAATGAAATGAAAGTGGAGGAACTAGACAGAACGGGGTGGCGTACATCTTTTAAATGTCACCTCGCTGGGAATTTATGCAATATTCAATAATTCATCACGGACGGACGGTTCGGTGAGGACCTGCAGAAAAGAAAAGCAACATGGAAAAAGCAGCGGGTCAGCTTTTTTTGGCGGGGTCACACTGTGTTTTACGATCAATGCTCTGCGCCGCGCTCCATTTTGTTTTTTTTCGGCCTATCCACAGTCAGGTACTGGTCCAGCAGGGTGACCTTTTCTGACTAACACGTCTACCGCTCAGGAGCTAAACAACAGTGAGTAAACATTTAAACGTCTCTTCTGATTAAACAGGGCATGGAGGGGTTGGCAAAGCGGCCGAATCCTCCTTTTTCTGTGTGGCTGGGCGGTCCAGTCTGTGAATGCACAACTTATTGCTGGTTCTCAGGTATATTACGCACTGTAAGACATCCTCACACATGAGCACTTAAGATTTTTTCAGAGAAGGCTCAGATAATTTGATATAGACTATTTCTCACATGGCTATTCACAAATGGACTTCAGGTCAGGACATTCTGTCTTGGAGATGCGCTCTCGCATCCACCTAAAACGCCCGGCAACATTAACCGACGCATTCACGGGCATTATCACACTCGGTGGGCTTCATGTTTCATTCATCCAGATCTTGGCCGGTACAACAATCACTGAGAAGCTGAGACGTCTACCACCAAGGCTGTTTTGTATTCAAGCCCCTCTTTTCCTCCAGTGGAAATCAACATAGAACCATTCAGGCTGTTATAAGACTGTCTGGTGATTAGCATAATTTGTTAAAATTCCAAATTTGCAAAGTACCTTTACTGACTTGCATTTCTGCCAAAACAAGCATTTAAATTATTCTATCATCTAAAAAGCTGAAGTCTTACAAAATGTTTATCTGTTCTGGTCTACCATCTCACTGGTCTCTGCAACTCTCCAACCACAGTTGATCCACTTTAAAACCAATAAGGAGCTAGCTGACTTAATTTTTTTACATCATCCTTGGTTGCAGACTCAGAAGCAAGTATCACTCTTTATTCCAGGAAACCACCTCGCTCTGTAGGCTTTGCAGGCTACAAAGATACAAATTGGATTTAGAAACAGGACTCTTAATCCTATATATAAGTGAAAAAATGTGTAAATATACAAATCCTATCAACATCCTATTACCTCAAACCTTTAGTTGACACACCAGTTATTATTATCAGTTAACACACTGCCCACAGGTTTCCTATTGGTTTGGTGAACTTTAATTAAGTTATTGAGTTAGCAACCACATTTTCATACTAAAATTTTTATACTAAGATCATGAATAAGTTTGTTAAAGTCTGCATATGTCTGTTGATTGTATAAATGTGCATGCTGCTCATTTGTAAGCATATATATAAAAAAAACAATAACACAGGAAGTTACTTCAATTTGATCTTTTTAAATGATAGAGCACAAAATCACCCGCTGGTGCTTCCTTATTCATCAAGGTGTAGCTCAGAAACATCCAGAAAAAAAAAGCAAAGAGAGAAATTGCCACAGAAAAAGTCAAGTGTAATCAAAATGACTTGTTAATTCAAATAAATACCAAAAAAGACCTATTGAGATAACTTCAGGGTCAGCTCTAGATATACTGTTTAATTTCATAATCACCTCGGCAACTACTTGGAAGGAGGTTAGCCTTTTTTCTTTCCCCACACTTTCGACCAATTAACTATTTAGAAAACGAACATTCAAACGAGACACCGGTGTGTTGACTTCAAAGTGAGACAGACACTAAGTGGGCAGTGTGTCAATAAATCATCAAATTATACTAATGTTATCATTTCTAAAAAGCTAAATTAGACCTATCACCTCCCTTTGTTGCACCTTTTAGAAGCTGGAGGACAGAAAATTACCTCTCACTGCTTTGAATCCCTTTGTAGTTTTTAAAAAGACATTTCTAACTAAATAGGATTAGGATGGTCTCACATGCTGTGAGATTATATCTGTGTACCTTAATTTAATCAAATACAAAGTCACATGTGATCAGACCTTTCTGTGCTTTAATGTTATGGTTGTGATCCTTTTTTTTTTTTCCTGTTTTGGCTGCAGCAATTGTGTCGTTTTTCAGTCTGATAAGACAGTGATTGATTATCTGAGTCATGAGGAGGAAGACGACTTGAGTTTGATAATCAAAATCACAGCACAGCTTGTCTAGTTCAGTTCTTTTATCTCAGATCACTGGCAGATTAACTGGATCTGTGGAATCTGCTTCATAGTCCAGGGGCCTGGTTATCGGGAGGCATGCGTGAGGTGCTACTGACTGATCGAATACCTGTGGAAGAGGACAGACTTGACCAGAGTCACCACATCTCGACTTGCGTTGTATCCAGCACACACGATGGCCACATGGATGGTCTGCGGAGAGAACGGGAATAAGAACTCATCAAGCAATTGTCTATTCAAATAAAAGAGTACCACTTAACAGGAAAAAAAACTGAAATACAGAGTTTGAGAGGATGAGTTGTGTTAGAGGTTTTCGAGGGAGGAAGGAATCTCTGATAGGCCGGGGCTTCATGAATCTTTCCAGGGTAGACAAAGACACTCCTGGTCTGACAGCATGCGGTAGAACAATTGAGAAGTTTGAACAGAGGGCATCGGAGGTTGTTTCTGAGAAACAAAAGGGTTGGAAAACGAGCGCGGGTCTCTATGACCGAGATTAACGATGTTGCCATCACCAGTAGACTGAAGCGCTGAAGTGGTGGGAGGAAAGGGAAAGATACCCGTGGCCTGACATGACCAGTAAACAAACAAACGGAGGTTGAAGGACAAATGAGCTTTTGTCGTTAAACTCAGGTTTCCCTTTCTTTGCAAGCAAATGAACGCTCTATTGTTTTGGTTAACTGTGTTGGATGGACTATTCAATTTTCAATTCAATTTTATTTATATAGCGCCACATCACAACAACAGTTGTCTCACAGCGCTTTCCAAACAGAGCAGGTCAGACCCTACTCTGAAGTTAATTACAGAAAACCCAACAATTCCCACCATGAGCAAGCACTAGGCGACACAGGCAAGGAAAAACTTCCTTTTAGGTTAGGTTATTCACCCAGGATGACCAGTCAGTAAGTTTTACACCGATTGAGCTGAATGTGGACATGTCTGAGAGCTAATCTGACATTTGTGTCAAAATCTAGAATCATAAGCTTGCAATTAAAGGTGTAGCTGGTTAAATCTATTAATTGGTCATACACTGCAAAGAGGCCCAGAGGTCCAGAACCAAATATTGAAGAACCCCCGTAGGGAGGGGGCGGTGTGCCGGGATTTGTCCTTGCAAAAGCCCTCTGAGAGGACATCATCAAAGGTGCGATTTAGACAAGGAGTGCATCGCAAATTATATCACCGTCTTCAACAGCGTGGATAGTAAAATGCAAAGATTTACTGGGCAAAAGGCAACAGGGAACTGTATCAGGTAAGATCAGAACAGATTTCTTTCACCGAAATGATTTTTGTTTTGCTGTGAATTATTGGACGTTTTGGGAGCCTAAGACGGCTGTAAAAAGATAAAATGACACAAGTCCCTTGTGTAATCATAAAGGGGGGAAACAAAATGTTTAGATATGAATAAATTGCCTCAGGAAAGATTGTGTTGCCTCTTTTTTCATCATGTTCTCTTGTGAAAAAGCAGGTCAATTTGGCACCTGGCTTATTTGATTGCTTTCATTGATTTAGTCTGAACCGCAGCGCATGATGCTGCATAACATGAAAACAACAGTTGTTTTCTCCGTTTACGAAATGACCAGTTTTGTATTCCGATGCGCCTCCATACAAACAAGGTGGATATATGCACACACACAGTAGTGTCTGCATCCACTAGCATGCAAATCCCTAAAGAAGAAAATTTAAAAAAGATGGTGCAACAGATTTCATAAGGGCCTCTGCCCTTTTTTAAAGGTTTTCCGAGCAAGAGATAGGGGTGAGATTTGCTAGATCTTTTTTTTATGTATGATTTTCTTTGCATAATAGAGTTTTTACTTCACATTAGGATGAAGCAGTGTTCGCTCAGAGCAGTTTTCAAAGGTATACTTTAAGCCGTTGCTGTCAGTAATGTATCCATTATTAATGCAGTACTGGCTGATGGTCCCTGGCTGATTTTCTGAATCTTTCAATTTTATGCAATCCCCATATTCTTCAAGTATCTCTATGGAGAATGGAAAGTTAAACAATTCAAAATGAACGTATCTCTAAATAATACTGCAGAGTGATGTTTAGTTCTGTCCTGAAAGAGACTTGTGCATTTTTAATGCGTTTAATTTCTCAAATTTCTAGTCCACGTCATAGTCCTGGGAACCTCACTCTTCAAGTTTTAGAGGATTCCCTTGCCCAAAAGCAACTGGAAAGTGTCTGCTAGTCAGCTCACAGCTCCAATTAAAGATCAAATGTCGGTCCTTTGACGTAAGCTTTAGATCTAAAAATAAAAAAAACTCAAATGTTCTTTTCTGTCCTCTGAGAGAATCTGTGCTTTCGTCATTGCCGGGCTTATTTTAGGCTCTGTTCGAGAGCCGCTTGAAGGCTGACACAGGCAAAGGGCCCTCTTCGGTTGACTCCCATGTAAGAGCTGAGCTCATCTGGAGTCAGCTCGCTTTTCAACCGTGCCTGACAGCAGCGCCCGCGTACGATTGACAGCTGATGTTGGGGGGAAAGCAAGTGGTGATAAGAAACCATCTGAGGGTATTTCCTTTCTACCAGCAGCATGTATGAATCACGCAGCTGCTTGTGACACGGCAGAAATCACGTTTGTGGCGAACGGGGTCGGAATTCGCTGAACGTTCCACGTCTGAACTTTAAAAGCGCGATACAAACGACCAAAATGGAAACAGCCTCACCTCGCACTTGTCCACCACCGGCTGCTGCACGCAGTCCGAGCTGTTTCCCACGGCTCCATTCTTCTGGCCCTCGTTGTCACCGGTGCCTTCCTCGGAATGAGTCCGGCTCTGGTTCCCCCGACGGGCGCCGGGCGGCAGGCGCGCGGACTGATTTTTCGGTGGCCGGCTGAGCTCTCGCCGCAGGGCCCGGTTTTCCTCCTCCACGGCTCGGACCCGCAGCTCTAGCGCCTGCCGCTCGCCAGCTCCGCTCACCGGCAGAGACGACTGAACTTCCAGTGGAGACAGAGAGATTGGCTTCACTGTAGGGGTTGGGAAAAGGAAATTCAATTAAATTAAATTCAATTCAATTTTATTTATATAAAACATCACAACAACAGTTGTATCACAGCGCTTTCCAAACAGAGCAGGTCAGACCCTACTCCGAAGTTAATTACAGAAACCCAACAATTCCCACCATGAGCAAGCACTAGGCCACATAGGGAAGGAAAAGTTAAACAATTCAAAATGAACGTTTCTCTAAATAATACTGTAATCAAATATTTTACTTCCAGTGCTGATCACCACAAAACATTCCTCATGTTTGAGGATATCAAAAACATTTAAAAACTCTATCTTTATGTAATTGGACCCCCAATTCATTATAAAGGCTACAGTGAATCCATTGGGAAACACTGTGACTTACAGTTAAGGGAAAGTATAAACTGTGATAGAGATAATACGTTTAAAGTTAGAGTAAAAGTCAACTAACCTAATGAAATGAAGCGTAATTATAGGAAATATGAGGACGTTTAAACAGATCGTACAGATTAAATGGTCTTCTAATAGAAGAAGCATTAACAGGGCCGATTCAGGCGTAATTCACAGGCTTTGTGTCGGCTATAAAAAGATGGTCTATTGTATCAGCCGACAGTAAGTATGAATAAAAATGATGATGAATAAATATTTTAAAAAACGATTAAAAGGGCAAGGTTTTTCTTTGATGAGGATTGGGGAAATGGAAGCCGGCGGTTTGATTACAAGGTTAGGTGAAAGGGATTCAGACAGCAGTTCATCAGCTGTATTCAACACCAATTCCAGTCATTTGACAGGTCAAGTAAAGCTAATCAGTCAATGTAGATGTAACAAAGAGGATTTGGAGATATCTAAAGGGTACCATTACTCTCTCTTTTATCTTTCTTTCTCTCTCTCTCCATGGAAAAATCTTTAGCATTTGAACAAATATCTTTCAATCACACCATGTCAATTTGAGGAGAAACAAGTATTTTTTCTTAATAAATGAGATATATGTTACGTCTTGTGGCATGTAAGAAAGCATGTAGGAAATTAACCGAGCAGTAAACCTGTCCAAATCACCTGCTAAACTGTTTCTGTGTTGTCAAGTCTCCCAATCATGTATGGGCCATGGACAGTTGAGCAACTGAAATGCCTCGCTAAGCTATAATATGTATAATAAGCAAAAATTTAGTATCGGTTCAGAGTAGAAACAGTGGAGTTGCATGCCATCTGTGGATCTGAACCGAGTCATCCGTAATTTCTGCTGCCTTTTTTCAAATATGAATGAGCAGCCCCGAGTCCTGTGGAGACGGCTCTCTATTGAGAGAAGATGAAGCCGTCTGTCTTAATACAACTCAGTAACCACAGGTCCCACGAGGGAGGGGGAGACTTCAGTGCGAGATTATGAAAGACCGTTCTCCCATTCAGAATTTCACATCGGAATACAGATACGGCCTTAAAGAACGCCACGTGCAACAGTTGGTTGGGGACCCACTGCTTGAATGACATATTATGTATTGATCAGCATTGGGAAATGGATGATTTCCCAGTTCAATAGCGTCGCTCAACACACAGAAACACACAAAAACAAAGCAAAATAAAAAGTGTATTCCGTAAACTACCGGGGCTACTGGTCTCCTTTTGATTCAGCTCTTTGGGGCAGATGTTAGAATACATTTTCAAAGACAGTATGCGCACAAGAGCTCATTCTTCTCAAATAAATGTGTTTTAGTAATGGCTAAAATGTAAAGAAATGTAAAAAATAAAATAAAAGGCTTAGTTTGCTTTAGCCTCTCTCGCACATTGACTACTGGGATAGGCTCCAGTGCCCCCCCAGCGACCTCATTAGGGAATAAGCTGTTACAATAATGGATGGATAGTTTGCTCTATGATGTTTATTGATTGAACATTCATCGTGTGATATTGCACACTTTTCTCTCAGAATAAGCTTCCCTGGAGCTGTCTCTAATACATTCAATTTTGCAAGATGGATTTCCTGAACTTTGGGGGGTGATTAAACCCACCCAAAGAACCAAAGCTTCTTCTTGATTCCATAAATTTCCAAGCTGTGATTCGTTTTCGCAGAGTGGATTTTCTGGATCTAGTCCCACCGAGATGGACTCTTTGGCCATCTCTCACACGGCTCGGAGATGGCATATGGTATTTTCGGGGCAGCAGATGCACCTGGTCTTTTCTGTCGCCAAGCCAATTCATTTGGCTTTTAGATACTTGTCATATCATTTACTTGCAAAAGAAAACCCTCAGCAAAGCACATTAATCAATGTTTCCCTGCAGAGAGGGGCAAGCTGTTGTAGAGGAATACAATGTGCTTTTAATGTCAATGGAAAACAGACAATAGCTCATTTATTATGTGAAAAAATAGTTATCATTAGCATCTGAATCATTAGCTAATCTTCTCCACGTGCAGATGTCCTTTCTGTTGGAATAAATCGGGATTTTGGGGTGTGACAACACCATTTGAAGGCTTGTAACTTTTATTATCATCTTTTTGTAAGTTTTGATAATTCTACTGTAATATTTTTTGCTACATTTCAATTCAGATTCTATCAAAAACAGTGACAATCATTCAGCACGTGTGAATAAGGGTATCCCCTTGCTCTGCAATTAGCTTACTTTAAAAAGAATCTAAGGCCATGATTTTGTTACAATAATTTGGTAAAAAGCAACTTTTTCTTCCTCGTCTTCTTTGCTTGAATCAATGGCATGTCAATATAAAGTGGGACGTGAAAATATTTGATTGTTCAGGAAAATTTCCTATTAAAGCAAGCCTGATTTCTCATTTCTCACCAGATTTGAACCTTATCTGTTGTGAATGCAATTGCTTTTGCATGCTAAATTTCCTTTGTTCAACTGTGCGAGCTCTGAGCTGCTCTTTTAGCGGTGTAAGACTGAGCGCTTCCAGAGGTCTTTCATTCTCTCTGCAATCAGCCTCTTGAATGTCCGTGTGCAATAAATCACGTTCCTTTCAGATCGCCACATGTGAGCTGAGTGAAACTGTCCACGTTTCTATCGAGTTCGTGCATCACAGTTCGCTGAATGTAAATTCACTATATCTAAGTGTAAAATCTACACGCTCTTTCTATTGACAATACGTCGAGTTCCATTTTCCAGATGGAAGGCCAGACTTATTCTGATTGTTGCAGGTGCTCTTCAGAATGTCAGTGGTACAGTTTAATTCTCTGCCTTTATTAGTATACCCACACATAAAAAGAACACCATTTAAAATGTTTTAATCAATCCTGTCCTTTTTTTCCAGTTTCGATCATTTCACTATACATAGAATATATATATGGACAGGCATAATCATTTAGAGCCGTTTGTGTCATTTGTAACACATAAAACACATAAGCTTACACATCCATGTTAGGCTATGAGGTAAGAAAAACTAAATATATGGGGCAAAATATAGTCAAATCGGAAGCCTTCATAACCTTTAAAGCATTACTACAAATATCCATCAAAATCAGAGCTGATGCAGCATTGCTAAGCAACGTAACAAAAAAGAAAAAGAGAAAGAGAACTGAGGCCAGGTACGTCAGAATTCATGTTTTGTCCTCCTCTCCTGCTGTTCGGTAGATATCTGCTGGAGGACAGCAACGTATTCGTAACACTGTGGCATCTGCTCACCAGGCAGAAAGCTTGAAAAATCTCCACACAATCCTACCTGTCTTTCATCATTTTGTCAACTACTTGGATAAGGGAGGATGGGAGGATATGATTACAATGTTGGCCAGTATTCAGAATGCCAAATTAGATCCAAGCACCAACAATACAGATTTGGTCTGCACTCCGTCTCTGCTGTATTATTTCAGCGGTCTTCATATTGTTGAAATATGGGTTTGGACTATCGTTTTGACCTTTACAAACATTTACCATTCTTTGAAGACAAGGGACAGTCACAGAGAGTGTAAGAATTTCTTTGATGATGGATTATTCCTCTAATACAATACAATACAGGGTTCTGAGGGCAAGCACTGTGAAATGGGTGTAAATTTTTCATGATGCTGCCAGAGATGCAGTTATTTCACCAGGAGTTTGGTTTGTAATGCGTCTAACCGAACTTGGCTTGAATTTCTTAATCAGTTAAAAGTTTTGTTCTTTAAGCCAAGACCTTCAGCACACATAAGTATGAAGCCGTCTGACTTAGAGTCAGCTCCGTCAAACTTGCGTCAACTGGAAAAACACTCTGCCTTACAGATCGAGTCAAGATCTCATCCATCCAGAGTTGCTGCACCTCTGCAAAAGGAGTCGGCTGAGGTGGTTTGGGTGAGTCATTTTGGGTATTTGCTGGTAGCCTCCTATTGGAGGTTTCTGGAGAACGTTCAGCTGGGAACAGGTCTTTGGCGGACTTTGAAACACATCGGAGGAAATGCAAATTTTCTCTAGTATTGGGACATCTCAAGATCAAGCTGGTGAAAGAAAAGTCTGAGAGTATTTTCTAAACCTGCTGCCTCTGCGATCCAACATTAGATTTGTATAAGACAATACATGGGACAGAGTTCTGCTTCCTATTTAAATATTTTACTGGCCAAAATGTGCCTTCAGTGAAGACCATACCAATTATTTATTTAAATTATACATTATACAGAGCAAAATAATTCACTTTAGCATCTAACAGGAAGTACAATAATCAATGAGTACCTACAGCACAGTATGGTGCAGGTTCTTTTTATAGCATATGGACAATATCTACAGATAAAAACCTATGTAAAGGTAAGACCTGAGGTAGGCAGACGATAAACACAGATGGAGTCAGGATTGAATATTGTATAAATAGTAAGCACTAGCTACCAAGTCTCACTAAAGTTGAGTAATGTTTGTTACAATGTACTGTGCAGAACAGTCAAATGCTGCAGTCGTGATGGTTTTTGGCCAGTGAGAAGTTGAGGAGTGTGGGGGAGTTGGAAGGAGTCAGAAGGGGGCAGGGGTCAGTAAGGTCTGCTGGTACTCTACTGGAGGATTTTGCCTTGAGGGC